GAGCATTTGGTGTTGGGTGGGTGGAGCGGTGTTGCGACGACAATGCCTGGCGACGAAGCCATGCCAGGATTTGTAAGGCATTCCCGGCCCCGAAAATATCCAAGGTAACCGGCGCGGCGTGAATCATTTCGGTAACCGGTTGTCCCACAGCAAAGGTTGTGCTTTTCCCAACCGTCCTGTGGTGTTGGGTCTTCGTTTTTCAAAGACAGCACCCCGCGTCCCTCCTCCCCCCGCTGCCCCCTCCTCTCCTCCTCCTTCCCCTCCTCCCTCCTCTCATCCACATAGCCCAGGGACAGCGTTTCATGGACCCATATGGGAGCTCCACATGAGGTCCCAGTGGCGCAGTTCGCATGCGCCTCCCCGGCACAGATAGAATTTCCTAGCCCCAGGGGGATCTCCACCGAAGGTTCCAGTGGCGCGCATGCGTCTCCCCACCCAGTGCAGCGCTTCGTGGCCCATAGGGAACTCCACCGAAGGTCCCAGTGGCGCAGCTCGCATGCGTGTTTCCCCATCCAGTACAACGCTTCGTGGCCCCATAGGGAACTCCACCTAAGGTCCTGGTGGCGCAGCTCGCATGCGTCTCGTCCGCCCAGTACACGTTTCGTGGCCCCACAGGGAGCTGCACCGAAGGTCCCAGTGGCACAGCTTGCATGCGTGTTTCCCCACCCAGTACAGCATTTCGTGGCCCCATAGGGAGCTCCACCTAAGGTCCCGGTGGCGCAGCTCGCATGCGTCTCCTCCGCCCAGTACAGCGTTTCGTGGCCCCGCAGGGAGCTGCACCGAAGGTACAGCGCTGCCTGGCCACATAGGGAGCTCCACCGCAGGTCCCAGTGGCGCAGTTCGCACGCGTCTCCCCCACCCAGTGCAGCGTTTCATGGCCACAGAGGAAGCTCCACCGAAGGTCCCACTGGCGCAGTTCGCATGCGCCTCCCCCAGCAAGTACAGCGCTTCGTGGGCCCATAGGGAGTTCCACCTAAGGTCTCACTGGCGCACTTCGCATGCGTCTCCCCCCGCCCAGTACAACGTGCCGTGGCCCCGGAGGGAGCTCCACGGAAGGTCCCAGCGGCGCGGTTCGCAAGCGTCTCTCCCAGCCAGTACAGTGTTTCGTGGCCCCAGAGAGAGCCCCACCTAAGGTCTCAGTGGCGCAATTCGCATGCGTCTCCCCCGCCCAGTACAACGCTTCGTGGCCGCATAAGGAGCTCCACCTAAGGTCCCAGTGGCGCAGCTCGCATGCGTCTCCCCCACCCAGTATACGTTTCGTGGCCCCAGATGGAGCTCCACCTAAGGTCGCAGTGACGCAGTTCGCATGCGTCCCCCCCACCCAGTACAGCGTTTCGTGGCCCCAGACGGAGCTCCACCGAAGGCGATTCCCACAACTGCGGTACTCACAACTGCATATCGTTGGGTCCTTCGCCAGACTATTTTCTTTCATAACTGGATGGGCATGTTTTAAATGTGTCCTTGAGGGCACGCTTAGATTTGGCAGCCGAGTAGCCCAGCATTAAATGGATGGCCAAGCAGTGGGTCAGTATCGTTTTCATTCGTACCGCTCATACATGTTTAGTCAGTTCATCAGTGTCCCTACCTCCCCCAGCCTACTTGACGTCTCCAATCCCATGTGCATGTTGTCACCATACGGCTTCTACAATGTAATCCGATGTGTGTTCCTTCAGGCAGTTCGTGCCAAGGCAGGATGATGGGAATCGAGTGACCAGGACGACAATTGCCCTTTTACTTTCAGGTAGTGATGATCTGTTGTATCGCCGAGGCTCTGCAGTGTCGTGAAACGCCGGCTTCCCACAATCAGCCGTGGACATGAAGGCATGTCGCAATTCCCATAGCCGTCGCAGGTTCAGGAGTTGTCTTCCTGATGCCACCGTTTGGGAAGGCTGCCCCTGTGCGCGCTCTCTGCGTTCATATAATCGGTGCCATAGTTTGCTGGTGCTCGATTGCATGCATCATCTCGCGCCCTTATCCGTGGCAGGAGAAGGGCGCACCCCTGGACACTCCTGTTGTCAACGACTCCTTCTACTGGCTACCGAATGGCAAGCACGCAGTGCCTCCAATGCCCCACGCATGGTGTTGCCAGTTTGCTTCAGAACTCGAAGTGCCGAGTGCCGTTTTCCACTAAGAGTGGGAATCAGCCTGGAAGCATACATGAACGTTCGGATCGAGGCAAACCACAATGTAGGAACATGTGTCTGTTGTGCCAAAAGTGTAGCTGCGAGCAGCCTACTTTCTTGCTTTGTGGACTTGCATAGTTGGCACAATCTCTAATCTGTGTTTTGTTTATTTCTTGCGTTTGGCCCTTCGGTTTTGTTGACTGCTACTTCCAGCTCGCGTCCACCTCCTCTGCATGCCTGAGCCCGTCCTGCCCCCGTCCACCGACTCCTTGTGGCCTATCCATCCCACTCCACTCAAGGCGAGCTCTGCTCCACTCGTGTGTGGTCGGCTTATGCGCACCAGTGGGGCCCGTGGCCGGCTCGAGTTGCCAATGCCACAACTCACAACTGCCACTCGCGAGCTGTTGAGACAGTTCAGGCCCGCGACTGGAGGTATGAAGTGTGAACAGTGCCGTTTTTGATACATGCTCCGCGTGCGGACCATGTATTCAAAGTGCAGGGATTCAGTACTAAAAACAACGAGGAGTTCATGCACAAATGTATTCATACGTTATATTAAGAATCCCATGTTTTGAAACATCCCATGTATTAAACACTGCCCTGTAGGTCGGAGGAGCGGTCAGAGAGGGCAGGCAGGCAAAGAGGTCTGTGCTACGGCGTGCCACGTGTTGGTTCTGGCCCGGCATGTGCCACCACTTCCCGAGCTGCTCCTGACCCTCACACGAGCGGCCTCCTCCGAGCCACGCCCATCCTGCCCCTCCTCGCGCAGCTCCCTTTCCCGTTTTGCATCTTCCGCCGCACACCCAAAGGAGTGCCGCCGAGAGCCGTAGGCGCGCTAACGGCGATGCAGGCAACGGCGATGTAGGCTTCGGTACTGTGGGAACGCGCGGCTCGTGCTTTCTCCTAGAATTCGCTGTGTCGTTCTCGTTCGACACATCCGCAGATCGGACATGTAGGAAAGTGTGGTCCGTGACTTCCTACAGTTCGGTTTCCAACATCATCGTCAAGCAACATCGCCGTTAGCGTGGCCTTGGAAGAGCGCCGGAGTCCCCCGCACCAGAACTACAGCCACGCTGCCTCTGGAGCGACAGCACCGGTAGCGCAGCGTACCACAGGCAGGCGAACGCCATCCACCGATGTTTCTCTTCCTAGGAGGAGGAGGAGGAGGAGGAGGAGGAGGAGGAGGAGGAAGAGGAAGAGGAAGAGGAAGGGGGAGCAGGAGGAGGAGGAGGAGGAGCAGGAGGAGAGGAGGAGGAGGAGGCGGAGGCGGAGGAGGAGGAGGAGAGGAGGAGGAGGAGGAGGAGGAGGAGGAGGAGGAGGAGGAGGAGGAGGAGGAGGGAGGAGGAGGAGGGGGAGGGGGAGGGGGAGGGGAGGAGGAGGAGGAGGAGGAGGAGGAGGAGGAGGAGGAGGACAACATCCCGAAGTTTCTTGATTCGTGTTTCGTTTTTCTCCTAATATCAATTCCTTGTCCTCAGCCTTCGGCCTTCTCCTTGTGTTCTCCTTCAACTTCACTGCCGCACTTATCGTCTGCCAAGGGCAGTCCAAGGCCTGACGGCCATGCTGCGTGTGCGAGCACGGGAGTTGTCGCCGGAATACAGCCAGCTGGGGTCGCTGGATTCCTTGATGCACTCTCCGTTCGAACCAACCAAGCACGGCCCATACGCGTGTCGTGTGTAGGGGGCTTCATTACCTGAAGGTCGCTCATGCCATGCGTAGGGGCTTCAATGCGTGAAGGCCGCAGAAGCACCATAAGCCCAGCAGCACCGAGCAGCACAACCACAGACCACCACAGACCAACAGCACCACTAACAATCACACAGGCTAGCAGCAGCGCCGGCAGCCCACCAGCAGTCAGGAATGAAAGCAACCGCCACCGACCACCACTACCGCCGACCACTAGCGCGACCGAGACACGCCAGCAGACCAGCAGCACTACCGACCACCGCAGCAAGCCAGCAGCGCCCCAGCCGACCCACAGACGAGCAGCACCGACAGCCCAGCAGCAATCAACAGCAACCCCGACCAGCGCCAACAGACCAGCAGCGCGGCCATCAACCACAGGCCAACCAGCATCGACCCGCAGACCAGTTGCCCAGCAGCAGTAAACAAAAGAAGCACCGACCCACGCCCACAGACCAACATCACCATTAATCGCCACAGAACAGCAGCACCATCCACCACCGACACTCAGACCAATAACAGCACTGGCAGACCAGCAATAACCAGCAGCGATCCCGAGCAGCACCAGACTCCAGCAGCACAACCCACCAATGCTGATGCTCAAGCGGCACAGGAGCAGCACTGACATCTGGCAGCGCCGAACAGAGCAAACTGATTTCATAAACATGACAGTCGTTCACGGACACATCCGATCACTTACAACAGACGACCGTGTCAGCGATGGAATCAGGGAGCTTGAAACCAGTCATTGGGATTTCGCTTTCACCATGGAAACGCGGATAACGACGGCCGAAGGGTGTTGGACACTTTCGGAAGGACACGCTTGCGCTGGATCTGGCAACGATCAAGCATGCCATGCTGCCGCGTTGCTCATACACCTATGTTGGGCCAAAAGATTCCGAGCACCTTCTGCCAGTTTCGCCGCGGTACCAGTGAAGAGAGGACAGCTGAAATTACAATTGCGACCCACGCGCGCTGCGCATGCACGGTGCAACCCGCGAGATTGACAGAGAGAGACAGAGAGAGAGAGAGAGAGAGAGAAACAGAAAACGAAAGAGCACCAACACGCGACAGCATATGATTCTCGCCGGTGTCTTCAACGCACGCATCCACGGTTTCTAAAGACGCAGGCAAAGACAGAACCGACAGTTTCGATCACGTCACTTCGAGATGCTTGGGCTGACGTGGATACGGAAA